AAGGAAAAGGAAGGAAAGGGAAGCCAAAGGAAAAAACACACACACACACACACACACACACACACACACACACACACACAAAAACATCCAAACAATCACTCATTCCATCTATTCATTTTCTCACCCGTCTCTCACCCCCACAAACCCAACCCATCCCATCACAAACCCCCAAGAAAAGAAAACACAATTTATCTCCCCCGTCCCCATCCTCTATACCCCTCCCCACCCTCTCAAGCCCAAAAAAAGAATCCCCTTGCAAAGTGCGATTTGTATTGTAATTGTAAGTTGCGCCAGGCAAATGCAGGCCGTGAGGTACAAAACTGATTGTCTAATGCTTTTTATATAATGATGATGATGATGATGATGATGATGATGATGACCCAAACAAGGAAACTCGTGTGTAAGAGAAAGAAAGCCCCCCGGAAAGGGAAAACAATAATACACCCGCTTTCCCCCTCCACAGACCGCCGGAGGGATGCAAGATCGCTCGAGGCGACTTCTTTTCCTCTTTGTTAAAGAAAAATACCAGAATAAACCCCCATGGAAATGCAGGATCCCAACGAGGATGGGTGGGGTTGAGAAAGAGGAAGGCCATTCCTGGTGTTGGTTTTTTTTGGAGATGATTGTGGTGGTGATACACCAATGATACGTTGTTGCGGGCTACACTGCCTCGAGTGCGCCACTGTCATGTTGCGTCGGTCCTGTGGATATCCATGTGACGATAAAAAAAGAATACAGGTGATATAGCTGGAGTTGCGAACAATCGTACAAGTCGGGTGGGCATGGTATTATTGTTCGCCCAGAGGTTTAAACAGGCTCTTCATGTTCAGAGTGATGTCGGCCACTCCATAGTCGTCGCCGATTGTCGTCACCGATCCAAATTCAATGCCCTTTTGAGCCGAGTCGGAGGCGACGTGAGAACGAATCTGCTTCAAAATGTTGAAGACCTGCTTGCAACGGAGGTCTGGAGGAGCTGTCCACTCTTCAGACCGCGATTTGCGGAGGAAAATCTGTGCTAAAAAGTAAAAGTGAATGCCATCGCGACAGAAGCCCCAGCGGGGTTGGTTTTGCTTGAACTGAATCGCCAAATCCGTGTCCCAGCACGTCTTCCAGACTTCCAGAGCACTGACGGTGGAGCGGAGCAAATGTTGAGCCTGTTCACTGACGCCACTGCTGGTTGTCGAAGGGCTGCCACCCTGAGATTGAGGCGTGCTTGTTCCACTCGAATTCACGCGTCGCAAGATCTGTCGCTGGATATTGTAGATTTGAACGTGGATCGCATGTATGAGGACTGTGAAGAAAATGGTTAGTTTTTTGGAATGATGAAAATCTGTCTGGACCATGGACTTACCAAACTTGCCAAAGACGTTTGTCGCCCGAATTGGGAGGCGTCCTTGGCCAGCTCCATACAGTACACGTAAGGCCTCGGACATGTCCAACTGCTTCGCTCGTTTCGTCCCACTCTCGTTGTCAGCCTGAGCTGCCTCTCCTCGCAGACCCAGGGCATTGGCACATTTCTCAGCAGTCTTGGCTTCCCAAGCGGCATCATCAGCGGGCAACGGGACCCGGACCTCGTTGACATCAAATTGTGGTTGGGTGTTGAAGAAGATTGTCGACGAGGCATCGATTAGGAAGATGAAGGACATCAGTCTCGCACGCTTCTCATTCTCAATCCACAATGTCCAGTTCCAAGAGTTGACTTCGGCGCCAGTCAAGGGTCCTGGCTGGTGAAGCACGCTTGCGTTGGGATTATCGAGCGGAAGTGGTTGCAGCAAGCCAGTACGACGGCTCAAATTGGCCAGAGCCCAAAACTCATCTCTTGCCTGCTGACGTTGTTTCTGCGAGCCGTGCCAGGAGAACTGGGAATGAAGGAGAGCCAAGGCCTGGAGTTCTTCCGTAGTAGCCGACGTTGGCCGGTTGAGGTCGACCACCTGGTTCGGGGCTTGCACCAGCCTGTAGACGCGGCTGGACCTCAAAACGCAAGCGCGCACAAGTTCCATCATCCAACGCACATCCTTGTCACCCAGTCTATCAGAATAGACGGCGCCAACGCAGCACATGGCCAACACAAGACCATGATCGGCCGAAAGTGGATTAAATGTCGCCGTATGAATAAGAGGCCAATGCGCGTGGTAGTGTCGGTAGCCATGTAGGAAGTCCTTGACATTCTCTCCGGTCACGATGGTCTTGAGCCCTTCGTACGCATTTGCCTCGCTGGAGCGTTGGCCAGCGAGCAAGGGCGCATTAGGGAAGCAATAAGCCAACAGGGCCTGGGCCAATTCTTGTAGGGGGTCAGACTGATAGTGATTCAGAAACCAGTTATCAGACAGGGGGGACGAATCAGGATAGCCGGGTGCGTGCGAGTAGAGCCCGAACAAAGTATCATTTGGTGTATCATCTGAGGTCTAAAAAGTACCGGTCAGAACGCCGGTGGATTTGGATTGATATGGGCCACCTGCCGTGCTGGTATTCATGAGGTGAGATTCGCCGTTGAACGTACCATTCCGCCAAAGAGAGGCATCCGGACCATTCGACATGCCGTCAACGTTTGGCAACGTTGACACTCCATAGTTTCCGGCATCCGTGCCCTCGGATTTCACGGGCATCCCATTCTGTGTCATGGCATTGTTCGCAGCCCCGTGGTCGTAGTTGTTGTAGTGATTCGTCGAGTCGTTTACTGCAGACGTGTTCTGGTTCTGTTGTTGCGCATAACCATTGGGTACACCGTCCGGGCGGAAGTCATTAAAGTTCATCCGATTATTCGCAAATTCCAGCGCCGACATGCTCCGCCGGTTATCCTCGGCTCCACTGCCTGGGCGTATCAGGCTGTTGGAGCGAGAGGTACGTGCAGACATGGATTGATGGTTGGCAATCGAGGGCAAATCGCCACCGAAACCGTTGGTTCCCACAGGAGGCATCTGCGGCATGCCCATGGCATAGCCCGCATCGGCGTAGGGCATCGACGTACCGCCAATATGGTTGAGGTATGAGTTTTGCTCGGCACCGCTTGGCTGTCTGTTCTTCTGCAGATGTTGTTGCGCATGTTGCAGATGATTCGCGCCCGTCGGGTTACCTCTTCGTATTGAGCACTTTTGGAAGTGACGCTTCAGAATATCGCTTCGGCTGAAAGTATCTTTGCAGAGATGGCATTGATAGGGTCGCTCGCCAGTGTCTGTAAAACGTCAGTGGCTGGGCATTGGGTTTGGCGCATAGCGAAGAAAATGAAGGAAGGAACAAAAAAAGAAGAAAAATCGCAAAACTCACGTCGAAGTAGATGGCGCTTCAGATGTTTCAGGTGCAGGTAGGTCTTGTTGCAGTGAGGGCACTCGTACTTGCCCTCTGCATTCTTCGAGGCCGTGGTGGGTGCCTTGCCGGCGGCTGGGGCAGGCCGGCCAGGGTGGGTGGGCAGAACGCCGCGACGACCCTGTTGACCGACGACGTGCAGAGGCTCTGGTTCTTGGTTGGGTAGCACAGGAGGATGTGGGTATAGCGAGGGGTGTTGCAGTCCCATGGCTTGGCCGGGGCCCATTTGGTGGTTGCCGTTGTGCGCAGCGGCGGTGGGCATCATGGGCGCCTGCGAGTAGGCCGACGTCATGGGCAGGTAGGCAGAAGGTGAGGGCTGAATGGGCCTAAGCGGCGGATGCTGTAGCGGCGGCATCGTCGAGTTTGCATTGGGCGCAGAGGTTACAGGCGTGTTCGGCGCCTGGGGCGTCTGAGGGTTGCTGTTGTGACCGTACAACGAGCCGAATTGCGAGCCACTCTGTAGTGGTGGCAACGTGGGCAGGCCATTGTACTGCTGCTGGCTCAGCGACGGGTACTGCGACAGCGCAGGTTGGCGAAAGCGATCGGCGTCCATGATGGACTGCGAGATTGGAATGAGTCGGTGGTGGTGGTGGTGGTGGGTAGTTTTGATGTGGTGAGGGAAGCGCGGCCAATCGATGTTGCGGGTGGCAGCATTCGTCAACTGAGAGGCTCAGTCAGGGTCGAGTGGCGCTTGTGCTTGTGACAGCTGCCCTTGGGGTGGACGAGTGGGCAGGCCGACTACAGTTTGGGAAGGGGAGCGGGGAGGGGGGGGTGTAGTGGAGTGGAGTTTGAGGAGCGAAAGGCCGGTAGCGAAGCTTTGTGGATCCTTGTGTGTGTGTGGGGGGGGGAAGAGAGTGTGAGATGTGCGGGAGATGGGCTGTAAGATGGGACAATGCAGCTAGAGTAGTCCACGACGGGGAATGGATCGAGGCGGAGGTGGAGGTGGAGGTGGAGGTGGAGGAGTAGGAGGAGCCTGCAGGGAGTGAAGAGAAGGGCAGGGCGGCGCAGTGTGTATGGAGAAAGTGTTGCAGGGACGAGGGCTGGAGAGAATTGAGGTGAGAGCTTCTCTGGCAGCGCTACTGCGGTGGACGGTATGGCAGGCGCGGCAATTCACGCGAGCTTACGGACCCCGGAGGTTGGCATATCTCGGACAG